AAAAAAAAAAAAACTACTCATCTGTTGATCACATTGAGAAATGGATAGTTAGGTACCTTTCGGCTCATTAATAGCTTTAGATTCCGCACAGCAAATTAGAAGGACTTGATGCCTTAATGACAGCTTTAATATTGCTGGGGACTCGTAATCATCCAGTTGACCATAGAATGACTCAGTTACTAACCGATACACATAACCATCACAAGTTCGACCAGTTCTTCCCCTACGTTGATCAGCCTGGAGAAATATAAAAAATAAGAAACAAAACTCAGAAAAAATTTAAAAAGAAAAAAGAAAAAGAAAGAATGATAACTCAGTATTACCTGAGATTTTGATACCCAAACCAGCTCAGCCGAATCTGTTTTCCTGTTGTTGTCCCAAAAAACTTGCAAAGATCGACATGAATCTATGACATGACCTACTTTAGGTATTGTGACAGAAGATTCAGCAATGTTTGTGGCTAGTATTACCTGCATTGATGATATTATTTCAGCTCACAGCAATATATACTAGATAAATTATGAAAATAAGAGCCTGCCGGATTTTGAACTCCCCAATCTGTTCTTATCAACCATACCACTGCAAGAAAATTCTTCAAATGCCAAGGACTGACCAGTCAGCAATCACCAACAAATTAGTGAAAGTTTACAGCTGCATATTTGCAGTAATTATTACTCTAATATTTTTTAAAGCTATTATCAATAGTTACTGACGACATAATATCCGTTTGTAATTTCCCAACACACGTAACGTTACCATTGTGTTTTATCAAAGATTATTTATGTTGGAAAATATGTCTGTCAACGATTTAACAATGGGTTCAAAGGCATTACCCGATCTTTTTTTTTTCAGAATTAGGGTGATTTCTCGCAATGTTTCGTGCAAGTGAAGGCAAAATAAAAACTGAGAAAAAGAACTTTACCTTACGGTGGGATTTGCAGATATCCATAGCTCTGAGAGCTTGATTAGTGTCAACAGACCTATGCAATATGTGAACTCTGAATAAGTCGCTGAAAGGCTTCAAGAGGAGCCACTGCCTCTCCAATGTAATGTATGTTGGGAGGAAAACTAAAATGCTCTTCTCGATATCTGGTTCATTCTGGTGGATGTGCAAAACCAAATCATGGATAAGCTTGTGCAATTCAGGGTTGAAACCGACTTCAGCCATTGTTGGGCTTGGTCCGGAGCAGTATTTCAACGAAAGGTTCTCAGAGTCTATTCCAAGAAGTTTGGCCACCTATTTACACACAAAAAAAAAAAGAATAATAAAAATGTGCTTGTAACAAACACTAGCGGCCTCACTCCATACAAACAGCATTTAAGGGGGGAAAAATGACTATAAATACAAAATAACTTGACCATCTTTCATTAATTAAAAAACTTCAGGAGCAAAATAGAAACTTTATAGTCATCCATACTGTTGCAAAAGAGTGTACAAACTCCAAAGCTACAATAGAGACAGTTCCAAATATTGCAAACCACTTCTTTATCATGTTGGTGACAAATATCAAGCAATCAAACAATCAACAAGCCAATCAACAAGCCGTTACAATCCCACTAAGTGGGGTCGGCCATGTGCTCGATCAAAGCACATATCCTCATTCAGATTTAAATATTTTAAATCATTTTTTATTGTCTCCTTCCAAGTTTTCTTAGGTCTACCCCTCCCCCTTTTAATTTGTGTTCTTCATTCTAATGTTACCCTTCATTGAAAATATCATTGAAAATTAACAATAAGGCAGAGCCAATAATACCTAATAAATGCTGCTAGCGTAAAATACCTGATCGAGATACATCTCTTTTCTTTGATATATGATATTCTTTTCAGAGTTGGGGATAGCCACCCGTTCCACTCTTTCATCCCTACCAAGATCCTTGAAGTATTCACGATACCGCGCAATATCAGCAGTTGCAGACATCAAAACCACCCTACAAAATCATAGTTGTTGAGACAAATCAGAACAAGATTCATCAGCTAGCATACAATAAGCAAAGAGATGAGTAAATAAATTTCCAACCTCAAATCTTTCTTACGAAGCAAAAACTGCTTTAAACAAACAAGAACGAGATCAGACTCCACAGATCTTTCATGTACTTCATCGAGAACAATAACTTTGTACTTAAGAGCATTGAATCCTTTCTCTCGCATTTCATCCAACAGAACCCCAGCTGTTTTAAAAACAATCTTGGACCTGACAGAGAAATTTGATGTAAATTGTTAATAATTATATCCAAAAGATCAGAATGATAACTGATAATGACTAACATGCATCAACACAATATCACTAATAAATATATATCCCTCCCTAAATAAATGCAGAGATTGCCGAGCCTACGAGTCAACTTCTAGTGCTTCATAATCCATTGTCGGTAATCTTATGTCAATTTATGATGCTCTAGAGTAGTCCATACAGATGTTGAATATTATTCAAATTATACAACTATTTGGCTAAAATAAATTATAAAAATATTGTAATACTAATTAACTTTATATTTGTTGTCAATTTTTCAAATAGGATATATCAAACTAATCATCATTTTATAATCTTCTATTTGACAGTCATATTGTATACATAAGCTAAAAAAATAATTATTTCTACCATCATAAATTAAAACTACATTATATATTAATCCTAATTGAAAAATAATAAATTTATCTACCGCGCTTATTAAACGATATGACTTTGTTAGAAACTATAAAAATGTAATATGATCGAGTCTTACAGGTGACGGGTATCTTTCTATTTAGAAAAAGGATTGAACAATTGAGAAATGATTCAAGTTGAATTAACTTACTAGGTGTAGCAAGGCAACATAGTACAGATGAGTACAAAATATACTCAAAAAATAGTTACTTTTCTAACTCCGTAAGGAACAAGTTCAACGGATCCATTCTTGCAGCACAAACTAGAGAGAACTTTATATTTTTGTGTTCGTGAGCAGTAGATAAATTAATCATAAGCCTACCTAGACGATAAGACCCTTGAGTGACCAATATGGTATCCAACCTCTCCACCCACTTCACAGTTACGAGCTGCGGCTACCATTCTAGCAACAGCTACAACAGCAAATCTTCTTGGTTGGGTACAAAGCACTGGCGCCATATTTTCTTCCAATAGGAACTGTGGGATCTGTGAGCTCTTTCCTAAAACATAACAAGTTAGGAGAAGAAGAAGAAGAAAAAAAAAAATAAAAAAAAATGGAAGAAATACTATTCATATCGGGTAATCAGAACCATATAGTAAGCATCAGGCCATCTGCCCCCTTAGGTACAACCATGAAAAATCTTTGCCTTTTCCTTCTTTTTGATTGTGCGTGCAAAGCAGACCGGCAGGAGCTTAAGGGCAGCAGCCCCTCAAATTTTAAAATTTTTTTAGCATATGTAAAAATTGCTCATCACCCATTATAATTCCACTTTCAGCCCTCTCCGACAATTTTTCCAAACTCAACCCACAATTTCCAAACTCAACCCCAAGCTGAACTTTTAGTCTGCTCTCTGTGTGTTTGTGTTGATCAAATTTTGTACAGATGAAAATTACAAGAAAAGGGAAACAGAACAAATGCCAGATTTCCCTATATCCAAGTAATTACTCCACGCTTCAAATGAGCGCCTACAAACCGGCATGATCTGAACTTTTCAAGTTCTGCCTAACAGTATTTTACTTTTTTTACAAACAATACAACTACAAACAGCAATTCCACCTAACAGAGAACATCTGGTGAACTATAGAGCAAAACCCATACCAATCAAATATTAACTAGACAGTAGAAGAAAAAACAAACAAACAAACTAACAAACTAACAACAAAACAAAGTCACAGTCATGCTAGTGCATATCAACCACACTAAAACTAAAAGCCACTATAAACGTGCAAAATAGAAGTTACAACCACAGCCAGGTAGTTACCGCAGCCAGTCTCGCCGATGATGAGAGTCACGCGATTCTGCTTAATCTTCTCGACGATTTTCTCCCTCATAGCCACCACCGGAAGTTCGGCGAACGGCGAGACGTCCGGCGACTCCGCCAGCGACGCCATTGCTCCGTGGAAAGCGGACGAGCAGAAAAAAATTCAAAATTGGAGGAAAAGAAGTAAAACCCTACAAAGCCAAAAGCCTGCTACGACTGTAGAGAGGCTATGGAGTACACGGGTGAATTTTAGTAGACGAAGAGCCTCTCCCACCTAGGAATTTTGTCGTCTCGTTAGTTCGCTCTTTCGTTTTGTTTTGTAAATTGGGAAACACGCGTACGAGCGAGCGAGTGTGTGGTGTGTTTTATTGAATGGGGTATATTTTAAAATCAAAGTATTTTGATATAAGTTCCTGTTTAGGTGGTAGCAATATGGTTGTTGTATGGTAATACTATGATTTGGGACTCTAACTTGGATATCTATGAATCTTTTGAGATATATAACTTGTGGGTTTTGCTATGAAGCCAACAGTTGGCTCCATAGTGAAGTCAACTTTCTATATACAATAAATAAACTTACTATATTCTCTAATTACTTAAATAACACTAATACCTTGTTGTTATATGCGAATTAACAACGATTATTTAGTTCAAATTAAGTTATTAAACGGGATGATTTATTGAGAAAGTTGATCTGCCTTTTTGGACGTTTTACAAGTAATATTTTCCGTTCGACCATCCCCTTTTTTTAGGATTCCGTTTACTATTTATAGTACAATAACCCACCGTACGAGGTTGGTGTGATCGCATTAAATGTAAAAGAAAAGTCAACGGCGGCTATTTGCCACTTGTACTTGTGGTTCGCCACCTCGATAAATGTCATGATGACCTGCTGAGTTGGCACTGCCTTTAAAATCGGGTTCGCGTTTGGTGGATATCGGTTAGCTAAGCCATGACCGACGAGAGATGTCGGTTTAGTGAAGATAATAAATGTTGAACTCATCGGCTGTAGAGATGTCGGTTTCTGATTAGTGACGTCGGTGCTTAGCCCGCTCTATCCAACATTAAGTCTCTTGAAATCCGTGAGCTCAATAATCTCCGAGGTAAAGTAACCAGGTGCCTTTAATCCTCGGATACTCTGTGTTAATAATCGTTAATCATTTGGTCTAGCGAAAACTATGTCAACAAGGTGGCCCCCGTCATTAATAGGCGTCCGGAAAAGGACGGGTATTGATGCTGTAGAACATCATAAAATTTTCAATTCATGCAAGGTGGACATGTCGGTTTCCTGTTACTACATTCTGATGTCTCAACACTTGGTGTGAGGAAGAAACTTGAAGCTGAAGCGGCGCGAATTTTCCCAATTAAATGCAACGTTTGTTGATAAGGCAACGGTTACTTTTTATAGGCCACGTAGCCGTTATTGATAGGCGCAATTCTCAAGAGTTGCATTTACTCGTGAAAGGGGGAAGTGTAACTCACGCGCCCCTTTTTCTTTTCTTCTTCAACGGTTATTTCTGAATTTAGGGTAAGGTATAAATAGCCGTTCGCTTTTACGAAATCGATTTACCCTATTTTTTTCTGCAATCTAACTCTTCAATCTATTGCAATTCCTTGCTTCCCTCAGTTTATCAGTTTATTGCTTAATCCTTCAAAGTGCTTCCTTCATATCTGCAGTTGTATTCTCGCGGTAAGATTTATTTCTTAGTTGTGCTTATCTTTTTCGGTATATTTTTCCTCAAATCATGAGTATATCGTGGGCGTCTTCCGGTGACGACGAGTTGGATGTCATGATGATCAACATGGTTCATTCTGGTGAGATGGAGTTGCTCACGGAGTACCACAGGTGGGATCCAGCGTTTGTTGAGCATCTAAGTATTCGATTGAACGACGCCGAAGGGGATAAAAAGGTGGAAGAGAATGTCGTCAATGATCCGAGATATTCGAGACGGCCCAATAGAAGGTGGCCAGACCCCAAAGTAGATTTTCACGGCGAACCGAGTATATTGACGGACGCAGACATCGTTATGTTGCGAAGTGATGCTCGAATCCCCGCGTCGGTGAATTTATTCGCGTCGTATCCTGGAGAAAGGATCACATGTCCTCCGTCGGGATGTGTCAACATATTCGCTGAGAGTTTGAGGTTGGGTTTACGATTTCCCTTGTCGCCTATAATTACAGAATATTTACGGATTTGGGAATTGACCCTATGCCAAATTGCTCCGAATTCATGGAAGCGGGTTATCGTCCTGCTCGTACTCCTGTCTGGTTACCCGTTCTTACGTTGTCGGCATACTGATCTCGGGCGGAGCAGCGACTATCTTTGAGGAAATAAAAGGAAAAGGAATTATTCCTGACCCGAAACCTGTGAGAACTCATGAAGACAAGCTCGACAAAACTCGCTATTGTGCATATCATAAGTCTCCGGGACATAATACCGATGAGTGTCTCGGCCTCTTGTCAGCTCTCTTGCGCCTGATTGGGCAACCTCAACTTTAAAAGTTCAGAAACTTCGATGCCTGCCGCAAAGAAAGGCTTGCAGATATCTTGGATGAGGAAGACGATGATGACCGAGGTGTCAACCCGAAGAGAATCCATGACGTAAGGCCAAAGCCCGCGCTCGAGAAGCACAAAACGTTGGGAAACAAGTGCTGAACGTTGACCTCCTAGATACCATTAATAAGAGGAATTGTCCCATCACTTTCAACATTAAAGATGTTAATTTATTCGCTCATCCACACTCCGATGCTCTTATCATCACTACTCCAATTGGGGGAATTCCTGTTCATCGAATTATGGTTGACACCGGAGCTTACTCGAGCATTTTAATGTTTCGCACTTTCAAAAAAATGGGTTTGGACCCCGCCGACATCCGGCCTTGCAACGATCAGATCCAAGGTTTCAACGGAAGCATTCCTTATATATTTGAAGTATTAATTACTTGTTTTCTGTCTTCGCTAACATGTGGACTTTTGTGACATTGAAGCCAAACCGCAAAGAAAGAACCTCAGTTCGAATGAGTGCTATACAATCGAGTAGACAAATTATTTGAGCTCTATCTGAACAAGCGAAGATATCAACGACTTGTAAAAGATTCTCGGTTGGAGCTTGTTGGTTTGTCACCGGGGATTTTAGATTCTTCTTTTTTACCCGGTAAGGATATCGGTTCTTTATGAATTATTTTCTTTTACATTTCGTTTCGTGTATCTTGATAAGAACTCGGGACTACTTGTCATGCAGTGTATTATCCATTGTTGGGATTTTTTGGTTTTGGAGATCCCGTAGAAGCTGAGGAATACAAGAGACGTAATCTTAACTTGGATTTGAAGAACAAAGTCGGTAAAGGCAAGAATCTTCGATCAACCGAAATGGTCGGTCGTATGAATTTACTTAAGGCATGGAAGAAGAATCCAAACCATTCTCATGCTGCCGTTGGCGAGCCGTCAGTGACAAGGGATGAACCGATTCCGGCTATACTGAGTGAGCCGGTTGTTATCGAAAGCCAAGTTAGGATTACGTCTCATGTATTCCTCAGCTTCTAAGTTAATCAAATAAGCTATGATTTAGTTTATTTGTCTACCAAACATAGCCTTAATGTGACTTAGGGCGTGATTGGATACAAATATATTCGCTCAAAACGATATTTTAATCATGGTTTTTTTTTTAAATATGATAGGGTTATTTGTTTATGTCATTATGAGTTTATGTTAAAATAGTCATTAAAATAGATTTTTTAAAGTTTTTTATGTAAAAGTAGAGAATATTTGATGTGAGTTGATAAATAGTAAATTAAAGTTGATGTGGTGTTTTAAAATAATTGACTGATATTATTTAATTATATTGATGTTACTGAAAATATGTGTTGTGTTACAATTGAATTAAATTTTGAGTATGAATTGAGAAGATATCTCCCTTATACATATAAGAAAAAGTTTGAGGGATGGAAGGCCTGACACGTGGCGTTTTTATGGACCAAAATACCCCTGCAAATGGTCTCTTTTTACATTGTTGCCCCTCATTATTACCCTTTTCTTTCGGGTTAAGTCTCCACCAACTCCTCCATATTTTCTGCTTTGACGAGTACAGTGCCTATGCCATCCTTTCCGAAAGCAAAAATCTCTCCAAAAAGCATCTGTCCTCTCCAAAAATCTGTTCTCTCAGATCTTAGAAAAAAAAAAAAAAACCAATTTTCCGAAAGCCAAAAGAACACGGCGGTGACAAGGTTACAATTGACCGGCTGATGACAGCGCAAGGCTCAACTCCACGGCGAAAAGGCGGCGAGATCTGCGAGGAAAGCCATAGATAAATAGATAGAGGGAGACCCGACGGGACGGCGAGCCGACGACATAGAGACAGGGAGACCCGGGACGAGCAACAAATTCATTTCAGTCCGGCGACAAATTTAGGTAAATATGACTGATGGACCCGATCTTTTTTTTCCAAACTTGATTGGTTTTTTTCTCGACTATGTGTGTGTGTGTGAGAGAGTTTACTCACGGAACATCCAGTGCCTGTACAAGTGTTATTGTGAATGATTGCTGCCTTTCAATCTGTTTCCATAAAACAATCTGCCACAAGTTTCACCAGTTACGAAATGCAATGAAGTAAAGAAAAACGACACTTGAGTGTTAGCCTTTGAAAAAATTGTTAGGTCCGTCATAAAATGCCCTGCATTCTGTGAGTCTATTTTGTCTGATTTTTTGGTACAGTGCATGATTTCTCTCAAATAATCTCCCTGATCTCAAACCTAGCCGGCTCACCTTTTCACACACTATCAGAAATTATATATGAGAAAGCGCGAGGTGTCGGTAGTTGTCGTCGGTTTCAAGTGGATTTTTTGGGTAAATATTTGGCTTGTGTTTTACGTATTCTTTCAATACAGTGTTCTTCGATCATCTTCTTTACTGGAATTTTTCGTTTCGCTAAATTTTGGTTAGTTTGTGCTTCAGTTGATTCGCATCTGCAACAAATATGTTTGTTGAGGTATTTAACCTTCTAATTTGTGAAAAATTTGTTCACAATTGCACGTCGGCTGATCAGGGTACTCAATTATCGAACAAGTAGACGATGTTGAAAGAGCTAAGGCATATTTTGATCAAGTTGTTAAAGTCGACCCCATTGACTGGTGAG